CGGGGAGGAAAGCGAGGGGCCCTCCAGACTCAGCCTGATGTGTCCTCCTTGAGCAATGGGGACACTGCTCCCCTGAGCAATGGGAATACAGAGCCCAGCCCTGGTAATGGAGACACAGCTCTGGTTGAAAAGCAGAAGGGGGCTCGCTTCTCCTGCCCTACATGTCCCTTTAGCTGCCAGCAGGAACGGGCTCTCAGGACCCACCAGACCCGGGGCTGTCCCCTTGAGGGGCCTGGAGAGCTGCACTGTGACCTCTGCCCATTTACTGCTCCTGCTGCTGCTGCCCTGAGGCTCCACCAGAAGCGGAGGCACCCCACTGCAGCCCCAGTCCGTGGTCCCCGGCCCCCTCTGCAGTGTGGGGACTGTGGCTTCACCTGTAAACAGAGCCGTTGCCTGCAGCAGCACCGGCGGCTCAAGCATGAGGGGGTGAAGCCACATCAGTGCCCTTTCTGTGACTTTTCCACAACCAGAAGGTACCGGTTAGAGGCTCACCAGTCTCGACACACGGGTGTTGGCCGCATCCCCTGTAGCTCCTGTCCACAGACATTTGGTACCAACTCGAAACTGCGCTTGCACCGGCTAAGGGTACATGACAAAACACCCACCCACTTCTGTCCACTCTGTGACTACAGTGGCTATCTTCGCCACGATATCACTCGCCATGTTAACAGCTGCCACCAGGGCACTCCAGCCTTTGCCTGCTCCCAGTGTGAGGCCCAGTTCAGCTCAGAGACAGCACTTAAGCAACACGCTCTGCGCCGACACCCCGAACCTACCAACCCTGTCCCTGGCTCTCCTGCAGAGGCCACTGAGAGCCCCCTGCACTGTTCACACTGTGGGTTGCTGTGCCCCAGCCCTGCCAGCCTGCGAGGACACACCCGTAAACAGCACCCACGGCTTGAGTGTGGGGCCTGCCAAGAGGCTTTCCCTAGCCGGCCAGCACTGGATGAGCACCGCAGGCAGCAGCATTTCAGCCACCGCTGCCAGCTCTGTGACTTTGCTGCCCGGGAGCGGGTGGGCCTGGTGAAGCACTACCTGGAACAGCATGAAGAGACTTCAGCAGCAGCAGCAGCCTCAGATGGAGATGTTGGCCAGCCCCCTCTGCACTGCCCCTTTTGTGACTTTGCATGCCGTCATCAGTTGGTGCTAGATCATCATGTAAAAGGGCATGGGGGCACTCGGCTCTACAAGTGTACTGACTGTGCTTACAGCACTAAGAACCGGCAGAAGATCACCTGGCATAGCCGCATCCACACCGGGGAAAAGCCTTACCACTGTCACCTCTGCCCCTATGCCTGTGCTGACCCCTCTCGCCTCAAGGTAAGGTCAGGGGCCATGGGGCAGGGAGTGGTAGAAGTGCAGGCTCCGGAGTTAACTACCTAGGTTCTCTAATTCTAATTCTTCCAAATATTAATTCTGTGACTTGGGGCCAGTTCCTTAGCTTCTCCAAGTCTCAGATTCCTCATCTGTAAAAAAGGGGATAATACTTACCAACTCCATAGGGTCATTGTAAAGATAAAAATTCCATAATATATGCTTGCCATATGATCAAGGTGTATAATAGGTTAGGGATAATGTGTTTAATAATAATAACAGCTAACATTTATTAAGTACCTACATTATGCTCTGCACTGTGATTTTAATCCTTTCAGAAATATGAGCTATGGATACTTTTACTATTCCCCATTCTACAGATTAGTAAACTGAGAATTTGGTGTTTGGTCACCCAAGGACAAAGCTAGTAAGTGGCAGAGCTGAGATACTCAGGCCAGACCTAGAGAGAGATTGAATGGGTTAGGCTACTATCAAAGTGACCAGACTGGGGGAACCCATTGGTAAGGGGAGTATGGATAGGATGGGAGAAGGGGAAAGGGTTAGCTGCCAGCAGTTTCTTCACCTACTTGCCCCTACTTCCATATCCTGTGAGTACCAAGGGGTGCATATTTTCTGCTTTTTGCTCATCCCTCTTCCAGTACCATATGCGGATCCACAAGGAGGAACGGAAGTACCTGTGCCCTGAGTGTGGCTATAAGTGCAAGTGGGTCAACCAGCTCAAGTACCACATGACTAAGCACACAGGTGAGTCTGCATGATTTTGACAGGCCTAAAGGGTTCTCCCATTCCCTAGTAAATCTAACCTCATTGCAGTGGTGTATGTCCTTGCTCAGATTCAGGACTGATATCAGTTTTATGTTGGGGGTAGGAGGTAGGCTGGGAGAGTATGTACCAGAGTGACTCTCCAACCCACTGAAGACCTATCAGAATCAGAAGAGGGGTAAACATGACAGCCTGGGTATGTACACTTAGCAAAAGCTTCCCCAGTGATTGTGGTACACGGTCACTCACCCCCCCATTGTGAACCCCCAACTCAAACTTGAATGACTGAGGGCAGGTCTACCTGATTCCTACATTGACATGATGGAACTATCGTGGATAAGGAGGACAAAGTGGAGGGTTCCCTGATCTAATTAGTCCTTTTCTTCTCTCTGGGTATGGAATCTACAAACTATGGGGTCTCCCCAAAGGGTTAATGACTGTGTGCCTTTGATTATTGGATATGGTCCCCCATATGTGGAAAAATTGATCAGATGCATTTCAAGGCTCTCTGCTTCTATGAATGCTGCTTCTTTCATCCTCTACCTCTTTTCTTGTAAGCATTTTCTTTTGCTTTTTGAGTTGAACAAGGAATTGTGTTTAAATGGATTCTTAAATGCCGTGAGTATCCTATGACCAAAAAAGGGTTGGAATTTCCCATTTGGAAACCCTACCGTATTCAAGTATTCATTACTATCAGGTGGCTAGTTGGTAAGAGGTCCAGTTAGTTATCAGCATCCATTGGGCACCCATGTACACAAGGAGCTATGTTGGGAGAAGGGCACAGAAATGTCAGACATGACTGGAACATTCCAAAGATATGGTCATTAGTCAGCTTTCTGCTTGTTCTTTATATCCCAGGATCACAGCGATTCGTATGGCCCACTGAACCTTGTTCCATCCCCCTTTAATGGTGATTTGTTCCCTGTCTTATAGGGCTGAAGCCATACCAGTGTCCTGAGTGTGAGTACTGTACCAACCGGGCCGATGCACTGCGTGTGCACCAGGAAACACGGCATCGGGAAGCACGGGCCTTCATGTGTGAGCAATGCGGCAAGGCCTTCAAGACGCGCTTCCTGCTGCGCACCCACCTTCGCAAGCACAGCGAGGCCAAACCCTATGTGTGCAATGTGTGCCACCGTGCTTTCCGCTGGGCTGCTGGCCTGCGCCATCATGCCCTCACCCACACTGACCGCCACCCCTTCTTCTGCCGCCTTTGCAGCTACAAGGCCAAGCAGAAATTCCAGGTGGTCAAACATGTGCGCAGGCACCACCCTGACCAGGCTGACCCAAACCAGGGCGTGGGCAAAGACCCTACAACTCCCACAGTGCACTTGCATGATGTGCAGCTGGAGGATCCCGGCCCTCCTGCTCCTGCTGCTCCCCCAACTGGACCTGAGGGCTGAGAGCATACCCCACCTCCTAGACAGGTGGAGGGTGTGGTCCAAGATGTGCAAACTGGAACCAGAACTAGCCTGAGGAGCTCAGGGCCTAAGGAAGGAGGACTGGCTTTAGAGTGTCAAGGCGACTGGAACCCTCCTGGGACTCTAGTTCTTTGAAATTAATGGCTTTATAAAAGGGACATGGACCACAATGTTGATATCTTGTTGACGCACACTGTGTTTTTAACTTGTGAGTTCCCAGTTTCTTCACCATCACTCCACCAAAATCTCTGGCTATAACATTTTGGTTTTACCCACCCTATCTTCTCTTTCCTTCTTGCTGTGTCAAGTCCTGTTTTCTTTCAGCATCTTCAAAATAATTGTATCCCGGCATGTGCTGTTGTGCTTAATGCTCTATAAAGCATGTTAAACAGAGAATGATTACTAGCTTACATACTCGTCCAAATCCCTGTCTTAACATTTCCAGGCTATCACCTTGATCTGCCCCCTCCCTTCTTAGACCTTTGCCTCTCCTTTGTCTCCTTTCATCTTCACTTAGTGATTGATTCTGAAATAGGCCCAGCTCTGTCTTCTCTCTGCCTTGGCCCTTGCCCTGCTCCCTACTTTTAAGCCTCTTTGAATACCTGTAGAGGGAGGATTGCCACCCATGAAGCCTCCCCCTGGATGCATATTTAATTCAACGTCAGTCCTCAGACTGGCTCAGCAGCTGCACTAAGGAGTTAAAGCACAGCACAGGAATACTGTGAAAGGCCAATGATTGGGGAGGTAAATCTCCCTTAGAATTCTGTGAGTGTTTCACAGCATAATTCTATAGTGCCTCACTTTATGATTGATCGTCAAAACTGGGACACACTGGGAAAATTAAAGAGGGTACTATTAATAATTATGCTGGGACAACAGACATATGCCAGGACTATTCCAAGCAAACTCTTCAGGAGGGCTGGGACCAAATAACTCTTTGTCTCCTTTTGTCCTGCCCCTTAGAAGCCATACTTCTGTGTCCTTCCTATGGAGCACATGCAGAATGGCCCTTGGAAACCTCATTTCTATACCTTTTCCCTGTTCCTCCTGACTACCCAAATGTTCCCACAACCCTTCTACCTCCCCTTCTTGCATAGCAATGATAGACCATACTAGAACCAAATTGGAGAGAGAAACTCTATTTAAACCAGTGGGGCTAAAGAGGAGCAGTCCATGGGGGACTCTGGTCTGTGCAGTGTTCTCCTGGGAGTCATAGTACAGTTCTGGGGTCAAGTCTCCTTTCCCAACCTTTGAGGAACCATGAGCCTTGATTTATCCTTCCCTTGGCTTTGGGCTTTGAGAAGTTAGGGGTGGAGAGGATAATGCTTTAGGTTTCTCTGCTCCAAGCCCCTGTCTGGATTTCTAGTTGCAATCTGCCTTCGCACCAGAGTTGATGGGAGAGATTAGTTGTAGACCTGGGTGTGGGATTGAGCCTATAGCAAAAAAGGAGAGAACTCCAGTATAGAGTACACAGGGCAGGATAGGTACTAAAGGCTTGTGAAAAAAAGGGAAGAGAAGAGAAGGTGAAAAATTAGGTCCTAGATTTGCTTGTTAGGGAGGAACAGGTAATTTTGTGCCTAGGGATGCACAATCCAAAACTTGTTTTTCATCACCTCCGTTTGCTCTCTCTGGAGCATCCTTATAGGTTTTTCTCACCAGCAAAAGCCAGCACACCCATCTTTCCCTTGAAGTGCCCACCTCAGGATTCACTCTCCTCCAGGTCTTCCCGGATACAGATGTACACGAAGATGGAAGCTGGGTGGAGGCTGATGCCATCCTTGGAGAGCAGGTGTATGTGGCGGTAACCTGGAAAGAAGCAAGAGGACAGCATTAGGAAGGCAGCCAGAGCTGGGGTGTTGGCCAGGGTAAGGGGCTGGCTCACCTTGTTGCATGCAGGTCCAAGGCAGGGTGTACTGACCAATAAAGTCATTTCGGGATTTCCAGTCATAATCCTCTACCACAAAACGCAGCATGGCGAGTTCAGGCACCAAGACCCGGAAGCACAGTGTCTGCCCCCAGTATGGATTAAAACCTGAGGTGGGGGGTAGGAGGGAATGAAGGAACAGACATCTACTGTCTTTAGGCCAATTCTGGGTTGCTTTCCCTATGTTCCCATTTAATCTAGATGGCAATCAGCATTTTACAGGTGAGGAAACAGGTTCAGAGTGGGTAAGCAATTTTCCTAGGTCACTGGAGCTTATACGTGAAGGGCCAGGATTCTTTGTACTGTTCCACACTGCTTCCCATGGGGGCAGGGGGTAGTAACATGGACTATATTTAATGGAGGGTAGGATAAAAGGAAAACATCAATCATGCCCCCCACACCTTCCCCAGCACTGCCCAGTCTCTCACCGTTGTTCTCCACATAGTTGGTCTCTTGCCGGGTTGTGTCTGGACGGACCCCAAAGATCTGCACTTTCACCAGTGGATCCACGATGGACCCCTCTTTGGTCTGGTCCACTTTGGGGAGTTGCTGACCACTGATTACCTGCAACCAGGGTTCTGGAACCTTACGAATTCCTGCTCAGCCCAGCACCCACTCCAGCTCTCACATCCCAGGAAAGAAGAAAAGGGAAGGACCTCGCACTGTAGCTTTTTGGTCTGCAAAACTTATCCTCCATGGGTAATATATTTTCTCCTAGTATTCTATCTGCAATTTAAAATGCATCCAAGTGGAAATTTTTGTTGTTGTTGTTGTTGTCCTTTTTGAGACCGGCCGCACCGTGCTCAGCCAGTGAGCGCTCTGAGCGCACCGGTCATCCCTATATAGGATCCGAACCCGCGGCGGGAGCGCTGCCACGCTCCTGAGTGCACCACGGGCTTGGCCCTTTTTTTGTTGTTGTTGTTGTTTTGTTTTTTTTGTTTGTTTGTTTGTTTTGTTTTGGGGTTTTTTTGCAAGTGGAAATTTAACAGGGTTTGAAAGTAGGCATGCTAATGACAACAGCCTCTTTTATAGCACTTACTGTATACCAGGAGTTGTAAGCACTTCGTTTTAACTGATATAATATATTAACTGCTTTATATTAACCCTGTGAGGTAAATAGTAGTAGTACCCCCATTCTTCTGATGAGCAAACTGAGGTTCAGGGAGGTTAAGTAACTTGTGCAACATCGCAAAACTAGAAAGTGGATTTAAAGCTAGGCAGCTGGCTCCAAAGTCTGCTGTTAACCATCAGGCTATCCTGCCTCTCACCAGAAACTTTGAACTGATTACTCTCCTGTCGGGCCTAACCACCTCTTCCTCCACTTCTATCCCAGCTATCCCAGTTTCTTCTCAATGATTTCTCTTTCCATAGTACCTGGATTAAGAGGGTCTGGGCCTTGAAAGGGCTGATGGGCCTCTCAGGGTGGAAGGAACTCTGGGCATCACGCAGGAAGTCTGGCTTCAGCACATAGCCACAGCCACCGTTTTGGCGGAAGAGCCCATCACAGATGTCCATTTCAGGCCCCGCAGTCTGCATATTCATAGCCACTGAGGTCCCCAGGAGAAGAAAAGAAAAAGATTCACTTTGGGGGCCTTCCCCAAACCCCTCTTTCAGGGAGTTAAGAAGACAGGTATTGGGTATAAGAGTGCCTGCTGGGAACACCTCCATAAAAAACATTTTTCTTAGCCTAGCATTCTTGAGGCATCCCCTGGCCCTATTGCCACCAGGGAACATATTTACTACCTGCTGCTCCACTCCCTCCCTGACCCTGCTGCCTCCTCACCCATCTGGCAGCCAGCATTCCAGAGTTCCTGGGGGTTGTAGTTGGATGAGTCTGTCCTCAGGCCACTGGGATACACGCGGCTTAACTGCCTGACATTGTGCTGCACAAACTCATTGCCTGAAAGAGGGTGTAGTGAGGGAGATGGAAATGGGGTGGATCCTCCACTTCCCGGGGCCCAAGGACCCTACCCATCCACTTCACTTTTCTTCAACATCTCCTGAGGCTGGCTCCAGAAAGCTTCAATATGCCTCTTTCATCTAGACCATCTTCCCTCAGCTCTCCTCCCTCCAGAGCCTTCAGCCCCCTATTCGTAACTCCTCTCTCCTTGCCTGTACTGAGGAGTTCCTTGGCTCCTTCATCTCTCCTTAGCCCCTTGTCCTCTTTCTTTGGACTCACCTGCCTGCCCATCAGGCCTGAACCTACCCATTCCACTTCCCTCCCTATCCCTCCATTTTGGTCCTGACCAGCCTCCTTGACAAGGCTCTTGGCCTTGGTTTCAGAGAAGGATGATATCTCATAGAAGTAGTGGTGCTTCTTTGAATGAGTGAAGCTGCGGAATGAAACAGACTTCAAGTAGACAACCAGGGCAGAGAGGTCTGGACACAAGATGGACGTGGGTGTCTGGAGGAGAAAGTGGAGACGAAGATGGAATTGAACCCTCAGCAGTCTGAGTGGGAAGAAGCTAATGGCCATCCAACCTAAGCTCCTGCCCACTGCCTCCCCACTGCATTCTCCCTCCTGCCTCACCTGCTTAGGCAAGAGAAGGGACTCAGGATTGGAAATAGAAGCCTGGGCCATAATCTGACAACAGATAGGCAGACAAAACGGCGGGCACAGCACAACCTGGGGGTAGGAATGGGAATAAAGGCAGTCTACTTATACTGCTGGGATCAGTTTTAGCCTCTGGGCTTGGAGGGTCTGCTCTATGTAACATCCTGGGTAATAGGTTTTTAATTTATTATTTTTAAACAGAGAGGTGTCATCCTCTCTATCTTTTAAAACGAATGAATCGTTGGTTAAATATACATGAATCCAGACAGATATGTCAAGGTATGCAAATAGTCATGTAAATCACACCTGGAAGGACATTAGGATCCCAGAGTAATATCTTTGGATTTTTCTCCTGAATTCCATTTCTACCCCTGGATATGGCAGCAGGTTAGACACCATAATCCCAGAGAGAACAATATAAGCTAGGAGTCAGTCAGCTGAGTGAGCCAAGCAAGTGCACAAGAGAGAGAAATGCAGACTTCAAGCCAGGATTTTGGATGTCCCACCAGTGACACTCCTTCTCCCACTGCTTCCCCTCCCCGTAAGGAGATAGACCACTCTGGCAGTCATCTCAGAGCCTTCACCTTCCCTACCTGAAAGATTCTCTCCCCTTCCTGTTCTTTAGCTTATGCCTGGCCCTGGCCCTTCCTCAAACTCATCCTTTCCAAGAAATTTTCTCTAACTAAACCCGCTTTAGTTGAGGTCACAGCAATCATCCCATTAGCCCCTACTTCCCCAGTGTAATAATTCTACACACATAGACACACACACACACACACACACCATTAGTGGTTTTTAAACTGGCTTTTAAGGAGACTGAGAAGTACAAAAATGTAATGTCTCAGGAATCACCTGGAGGACCCCAGAGAGAGCCAAATGAGTGCTTCAACCAGAATGGTTCTGCATTTATCTATTTTGTATACTGAGATTTCATATAAGATGTTACTTTTTTTTTATAAAAAAGGAGAAGAAAAAGATTTCATGGCCCAAAGAAGTTGGAAAGCCACTGTACTATATCTATATATGGCAATATATAATATATAGTGAAGCCATTATGTATTCTTACTCTTCTTTAACTGTGAGGAAGCATCATTTTGCTTCTTGGCCTTCTATTCTTTTTTTTTTTTTTTTTTTTGGGATCCGAACCCGGGGCCTTGGTGTTATCAGCACCGCACTCTCCCGAGTGAGCCATGGGCCGGCCCATTGGCCTTCTATTCTGCATGGCTCTAGTCTCTTCACAAATGGGCCCTCAGCTTGTGGGGCAGACTGACCATATGATACAGTGGAAAGACTACTCCTGACCTACCTTCTTTTTGTCCTTACTTGAAGGGCTGAGTTCCTGGGGCTCAGGCTCAGGCAAAGGCTCAATCTCAGACTGGGACTCAAGCTCCAGCTCTGACTCCTGCTGTCTCTCCAGCTCAGATTCTGTCTCCTGCTCTTCCTCAAGATCCTCCTCAAACGTGCTTGACCTTTTCCCCTTCACCAGGATCTTCCTCCGTAGCTCCTAGGGGACAAAAATGAAGGGGCATAACTCTCTGCTCTGGAGCCCTCCTGAGGATCATGTAGGTTCCTTTTCTCTCAAATGCAAAGGAAGTGAGTGGTCAAAAGTTCCCATGGAAGAGATGGATACAGTAGGGATTCCCTTATTAAGCAATTTTGTAACATCTCTATCCATATGGAAAAAAATACATGTGAACCCCTCCCTCACATTTGACACACTAAAAACTCTTCATAGATTAAAGATGAACATGTAAGTATAAAGAACATATGGGCATGAGAAGAAAATAGAGAATCTTTTTGAATAGTTTTATGGTGGGAAAGCCTTTCAAAACAATACGAAAACTCAGAAGACAAAAAAGATTGACAAATTTGATAAAAGCTTAAAAGTTTCCGTAAAGCAAAAGATGCTAAAAAGACAAAAGAAAAAATAGACTGCAAAAAATACTTTCCAAAGCACTAATATCTTTAACGTTTAAAGAATTACTCTATATCAATAAAGATTATAAACCCTAATGAAAGTGGGTAAATAATATTATCAAATAATTTAAAAGACGAAAGCATGGGCTTCTCTTTTTAAAAAACGTAACCTTTTTTTTTTTCAATGTTTGCCATTATGAATCATCTTACTACTGGAGTTATTTGTCTGTTGGTTGAAGTGTAATTTAGCAATTTGGTGTTTTGTCCAGAGGGCAACTTGGCAATAACAACCAAAATTGTCAGAATAGAGACTCTTCAACCCAGTAATATTGCTTCTAGGAATCCATTTCAAAGAAAGAGTAAATGGACAAAGCTGTGTGTATAAGTGAAAAATTATAAACAAACTAAATGTCTATCAAATGGACAACTGGTTGAATAAATTATGGCCCATAACAAAAAATGGAATACTATAAGGCTGTTAAAAAGGAAAAAAATTATACATGAAAAGACATCCATGATACATGTTATATGTGTGATATAAAAAGGATATAGAGGATGATCTCATTTATGGTTTTTAAAAATGTGAATATGTACACATATGTGATTATATAAGCATTAAAAAAACTATTGATAGCTCCCATAATCTCTATTATGGGAGAGATTAGGATTATAATGAAGGGGGTTTCCCTTTACATTGTTTGTGTAGTCTACAACAATTACAAACTATCAGGAAAAAATTAAGATATTTCCATTGAAAAAAATATAAATAGTTGATTTAAAACTTAGAGATCTATAAATAGAATTATGTGTTCAATTAGATTTTTTAAAATTAAAGTTGTCTCCAAGGGTATTAAAGAGCAAGATAGTTTATCTGAGGAGAGAAAGAAAGGAACAAGAGGGGCATGGAGGAAGGAGCCAAGGATGGGGGGAATGTGGAAGCCACGGTAGAGTCTGGGCTGGGAAACAGGGTCCCTACCTCAGGTGAAGGCAGCTGATTGGGCAGCAGCCCATCCAAGGTGGTGCTCAGCAGCTGCTCCCCCAGGATCTCAGTCAGATGGCGTGCCATGGTCTGCTGCTGCTCCCAGCTGCAGTGGTTCTCCAGAGACAAGATGACTGGGTAGTCTGATGTCTGGTGGTGAGGGGAGAGGACGTTGGATCCAGAGTTCTAAAATTCTGTAACCACCTTCACCGAATATCTGCTTCTTAGGCCCCCCTACTCACTCACTCAAATGAGTACCCTTATTGCTGAACTCCTCCAACCCCATTACAGGGCTTGTTGGGTCTGAAGCCCACCCCGAGGGACAGTATCCACATCTAAAAGTCCCTAGTGGGATCCCAAATCTCATACCTGTGCCAAGTCTGACCTAGGTCCCTTGGGGCACTTTGAGTTTTCAGTCTCAGAGTGAGAAGGCCAGGCCATTCTTGTGTTTATGCTCAGGCTCTCACTTCTAGATTCCAATTTTCCCCCAGTCCTACTCACCACTCTCTGTTTCCTTATCCACTCTCTCCCAGAAGGGTGACAGAACTTGTTAGAAGTAATAGTTACTAACTAACTAGTAGTTACTAGACTACTAACTTCTAGTAACACATGCAACACTGATTTGTAACAATCCCTTAATATTTGCCTTATTCTTTACAGTTAAAATCTCTTTACACATATCATGGCATTTGATATAACCTTCCCTGCACCCCTCCAACCTCCCCAGACCCAGAGCCAGTGACTCTTCCCTAGACCCTCTTGCCTCACCAGTGTTCCCATCCTGGGGCTACTACCTGGAAGGCATATTGTGCTACTGTGGCCACGACATCTTTGAACAGGATGCGGGAGGTCAGGGTATGTCCATGGTAAACGATGGGTTCACCACTAGGTCCATCCCATATATCCACCTCCACACAGCGGCAACCCCGCTTCAGGGCCCTGCAAGAACCCCAAACCCCCAGAGACAGGAGAGGTCAAGGTATGATTTTTCACCTAGGAACCCTCTCCCCACTCTGGAGAGAACAGAGCTCGCCAGCACTCACCCATCAAAACCCCTCCAAGCTACATCTCCATGGAGCCTTCCCTGTCCCCAGGGACACTGCTGCAGCTCACACTAATCTCTACTCCCATGCCACTCCACCTAACTCACAATCTTTCCTTAGCAACCCATCACACATTGCCTCATGATACTTTTTGTGTTCTGGTTGTGTACCCCTATGTAACACCTGGGTTATTCCAACTCAGTAAATTTACACTTTATTTTCCCAACCAGACTTCCTGAGGCAGTTTCTGGCACCACAACGATATCTTGGCTATTCAATCTAATCCATGATTAATCACAATAAAAGCAGCTACCACTTATTAGCTATTGACACATGGATTATCTCATTTAATCTTCACAACAACCTAGACAGACTAGGCACTGTTATCATCCCTATATCATAAATAGGAAAACTGAGGCATAGAGAGGTTAAATACTTAGCCTCAGAGTACCAAGTAAGGGAGGTAGGATTTGACCTCAGATGGTCTGACTCCAGAACCCTTGTTTTTAACTCTAATGCTCTACTGCCTTTCATTTAACATTCACTTTGTTTGTTCAAAGTAAATCTGTCAGCACCTCTAAGTTCCAAGAGAGTTTCATAGCTTGTGAAAGACAGAGAAGTTGCATTCACCTTCAGGGTTTTATTACCATTCTCCCACTAGTCTACAATATCTCCTCAAGGTGTCTCAGGTATCGAGGAACTCTCAGCCCCTAACCCCCCACAATGCCTTCTCAATCCCTGTTATTCACTGACAGCCCCCTTAGTTTCCCACACATGGTCCATCTCATGAGCTGGACCCCTTCTCTACCACCACTGCACCGTATATATCCCTCAAGGCTGCTCTGGCCACGAAGCTGGTCTCCCATTAGGTAAGTGTTGTGAGAGGAGTTGATGAAGTAGTGGCTCAGGGGTTGAGTCATATCCTGGTAGATGGGGAGGCAGGCCGGGTTGCAGATGTCTCCATCTTTTGAGCAGAGGTAGCTAAGAAAGCCATCCAAGCTCAGCACATGCCGCAGTTTGCCTAGAATATGGAGTGGTGAACACTAAAGAGAGAAGCTCTGAGTGGGAGCATCCCAGCATACCTGCAGCCCATCCTTCACCCTATCCCCTCCAGGGTCCAGCCTTTCAGATACTGTCCATTCCCGGCCTCCAGATCCCAAATTTGGTCCACCCAGTGTCTGTCTTTTCAATTATTCCCACCCTCAGAGAATGTTAAAAGGAATCATTAAGAGCATTCTAATCCAGTGCTGTCCAATAGAACTTTCTACAATGATGGAATGTTCTAGTCCGCAGTGTCCAATGTAGCCTCTAGCCACACGTGTCTATTGAGCAACTGAGATGTGATTTGTGTGACTGAGAAACTGAATTTTATATATTTTACTTAATTTTAGTTAATTTAAATAGTCACAGGGAACTTACCATTACCATGATGGACAGCATAGTATACAGTCCAAAGAGCTAATTTTATAGATGGGGAAACAGAGGCCCAGAGAGAATCAAAGTTAAAGACTTGTGACACGGCCAAAGTGCCTGTGTTCTACCTTGGGAAGTGTAGCTGCCACCAACTATGACCATCAATGCTCCCATATGGTGTTTTTTTGTTGTTGTTGTTGTTG